GACGAATGAACCATTCTTCTTGTCGGTGGATCAAGGACGAAGACACGAGGGTCGTGGTCGCATGGGACCGAGAAGAAGTGCCGGAAGACGACGACAAGAAGGAGAAACAATTGCTCGGGGACGCCTGACCGACGTGGGATAAAAAATTCCATGATCAACCCCTCGACGAGGTCTTCCGTTCTGCCCGGTATATCCTTTACGTACGAGCACATCGCGGATGGGAAAGTTCTCCACGTATCGCGGTCAGGTCTTTAAATATTCAAATGAAACTTCCGGTATCACCTGCTATGTACAGGATATTGCCCGTTTACCAAGTCCTCTATCCTCTATAGAGTCGGAGTTCGCCGGCGTTTTTCAGCTAAGCGCGAAAAGTTTCGGAAACTGTTCTATCCAGGGACGGGTAGAAATATTGTGTGTCGGGCGAAATGAAGGCGTCGCGGGGCAGACTGATCGCTGTTAATAATAAATGCCCACGCTCCTGAGATTAAGCGGGACGCGACTAGGAGCCGGTGGCCGTCCCTTCCCGGAACAAATTTAAGTCTTAATTTTGTATAGCGAGCGCGTCGAACTCGTTTTTTGCTCGGGGGGTCAATTTCCGCGTTGTCGCCGCCTCGCTGGCCGCGGGTGTGTAATTATTTTAGCGTGGTAAAACTTTTCAGTTGCTGTAAAAACAAAATTTTCACGGAAATTATGGGATGTAATAATTTTAAAATGACCAATACAGCTGAATATTCAAATATGCAATTATTTTATTAAAATTTTTCAGTTGCAATAAAAAAAATAATTTCCGTAAAAATTGGAGGATGTAATAATTTAAAAATGACCAACAGGGCTCAATGTACACTCAGTTTATAATATAGTCCAAATTATGATGATAAATTATATTCAATTTGCCCGCTGTTACCGCGTCATTGGTCGTGGATTTATCATATAATTATTTTACCATGGTAAACTTTCTCAGTTGCAGTAAAAAAAATAATTTCCACAGAAATTGGACAATGTAATAATTTAAAAATGACCACCAGAACTCAATGTACAGTTTACAATTTAGTATATTTCCAAATTGAGGTGGTGGATTAGAGTCTAGAATCGTGATAAATTGCTCGAATTATATTCAATTTACACACTATTATCGCATCACAATTTTACCAGTTAAAAAAATGAATTTCCCCACAGTAAACAATAATTTTTGAACGACGAACAGAGCACAATGTCCAAGCTGTAATCGTGGATTGTAGTCTAGGATAAGTTGCAATTATTATCGAGCCATTTGACGAACAATGGAACACGGCTAAATGCGTTTCTACGTTTCGCGGAATTACTGCGTAAATCCTGACGCGTAGCGGCAAACGTGATCAGCGAAATCGTCGCGTCGTCGGATCTCGAACGGGCGATCTACCGTCGCGATAGTAAAAGCTAGTAATTACAGAGTCCAGTAATAAACCGTCGGCGTCCGAGTCTAGTCGAGAGGCTGTAAAACGTTGCCAGTTAATGAAATAATTAAACGACGCGGCGTCCATTGGTTGACCCTGGAACAGCTTTTGCCGCGGAGCAACGATAACCGATAACCGGAGCTTCTCTCTGACGATGTTTATTGGAGGGAACCGGATTGCAGTCGCTATGGTTGATAGTTTAACTCGTCGTCGATGCACTTTCTCGCGTTCTTAGTTTTAAGAAACGGAATGCTAAAGTAGCTGCGAAGCGGGCACGTAGAAATCATTTTCACTCGACGACAAATTCACTTCTATTCCCGAAAGACCATTCTACATAAATTATTATTGGAGACTTCAAGTTTCTATAAATATGAAAATTAAATATGAAAAGTCTCTGCGAAAGGATTTTTAAAATAGAAGGAAGGTATCAACCATCTTGATTAAACTGCGATTTTCATATTAATATTAAATCGTGACGCGAGTCGCAGACGTATGATTATTTTGAAAAATATATTAGAGATATGAATAAAATCATAAGGCGTACGTGGATACTTCGTGTATCAAATAATATTGACAGAGTCAAAGGAGCGACAAAATGGTCGACGTCGGTGCGGTTGTTTTATGTTCGTAAAAAGGTTTTAATTTTAGAAATTGGAATTTCGAAGGTACAAAGTAACTGAAGAATAATTTGAAATCGTCAACATGGAGAGTTCGTAGTTATTGATATAAGAAGAGTAATATGCAAAATGGATATGTATTCAGTGTATATCAGGAAATGGAAACTTTGTAGCTGTGTACGGAACGGCCAGTATGTTTATTATTTTTCATTAGCTGAAAGCGATTGGAAATATTGATATCGATCCAATTACTATCCGCTGTCATGGACAGCCGGAAATTATTATTTTTACATATAAATCGACGTCGTTCCGGAGTGATACGCGTACACGCGAACATTCAATCGATACTGGTTAGGCAAATTTTTGGGAAGTTACTTTATTACTCGTTTCATAAAACGTCGAACACGATGAAAAGGGATAAAGCTTGCCATTCAATTACTGTTAATACCCGTTTAAAATTGCGTTTGCTCGTAGCGAGTAATACATCAATTTTTTTCTCTGTAAATTCAATCGAAATGTATTCGATTACAATTCTGAAAATAATTTTTAAAAGTGTGTGCTTATGAGAGCACTACGTTCCTAGTTTGTTGCAAGTAATGATAAAAGGAAACTTAATAAAATACTATTAATAATGTATGGAAATATTCAAAATTTAATATCACTATTAATAGTAATGGCACAACACTTAATCAAGTATTATATGCAAAGTATGGAAATATTCAAAATATAATATTATCATTAGTAGTGGAATTATATAATAATAATACAAAAGGTGAATCGGTCTTCTTTAGCTAATAAGATTTGTGTACTTTTTTTTAAACACGAGTGAAAGTTTAAACGAGTTGAAATTGGGACGTTTATCGTGATTCGTGAAAGTATTTTTTGGGGAACAAACGTTGCTCTAAAAAAATTGCAATGGATCCGTTTAAATCACCGTATGCACGAGGGCGTTCGGTTACAACGTGGGTGCACGAAAGTGCATGGAACTTGAAATTCCCCACGTGGCACGGTGTAATTACCCTTACGCAACGTAATTATCCTCGAAACTTCGGTCGCATTATTCTGCACGCTCGACGACACGATGCGAACGGTAACGAGTTGCGTTAGAAGGATTCCGACCAATTGCGTCTCGAGTGCATAATTTGTTTGTTCGTGTGCAAAGAACGCCGATGTAATATTGGGGGTGGATAATAGGACCGTACCAAAATTCCTCAAACCAAATTACGATTCCACTTGGAGTTATTCAGCTTGTCATTTTCAACGAGGAACAAACATTTTGTACGTGTTTTAATAACACGAGTAAACTTCGAATATTTGATTTTAAATAAATACTATATATTTACAAAAAGAATTATTCAGGTGTCTAATACGATAAAACTTAAAGAACCGTGCTTATAGTCTACAATATTTAAGATTATAATTGATAAAAATTAAAAATAAAAATTACGAAATGGTCTTTAAAATTTATAATTTGTAATGTTCGAGCATTCGAATTATTTGTGTCGAACACATAAAAATTCAACAAGACTCCCAGCCTCGAATCTAACGAGCCGACAATCCATCGTACGACGATCGATTAATCCGTAGTTGGTATTCCTGTTCGCGTTCCTTTTATGCAAAATGTTCCTACGCCCCCGTCGATGGGAAGAGCGCGATGAACTCGTTGCGTTTGGCTCGTCAAACGTGAGATATGTAACTAAATATTACGCGACAAATATCACGACTCGATGTACATTGCATTGGTTGCGTAGATCGTGTTGCGGTGGATTTAATCGAGTATCAAAATTGTTAATACCGTTTGCGTTTGTGTTTCACATTATTAATATGTTTAACAACGATTCGATACTCGTTATTGACAATATCTGTATCGTAAAAGTAAGAAAAGTGGATTCAAATATAAATACTACAAATTGTTAGGAATAATGCCTCTTCGTATGTATATTCGCTTAGATCGCGATTAAAATTATTAATTAATTCCATAACTCGTGGTGTTTTAGTCGATCGTATGTAGTTAACAAGACGCTTAAGATACTTGGTACGTCTCAAAATTATTCAATGGGGATCTGTTTGCAGGAGCATGCCCTCGCTGAAATTTCTCTTCAAATTACCATATCGCTGCACAATATTTAACAGCTCCGATAACCAAAGTTGAGCGTTGCTTTAACAGCATTAGAAGGTAGCGCGAAACAGGGTGAAATAAACCAAAATTTCACAGTCAGTTAATTTGCACTTTATTTATTTAAATAATTTCGATCCAACGCTGTCTCTCGACCAGAATTTCCTTTCCACGCTTCTCTTTCCGCCTTCGAGTGTCAGTCAGCCGAGGAACTCGTCAATTTTCGTTTCTGACACTCGTGAAACGATCGACTGGCATACGCGAAACCGATTTTACGAGACTGCGATGAATTGACATTTCCGCGACGCTACTTTTTCCCGCCCAGGAAATATCGACAATAGACAGAGGCGTACGGTGTTTTTCGAACTGTAAGGGTTTGAAATTCGTCAGGATATTATCTTTCTTCCTACTCGAAGAACAGATCACTCTTATTGCGATTTATTTCCACCATCGTTACTTTTATTTACTATTCGTTGGCCTTAACGCCGATAATCGAGGCTTCGTTTTGGTTCACAGCGGTAGAAACGATATTTAAAAAGTAAAATCATCGAAAACCTTCCAATACAAATGGTCGTCGACATTGTGAAGTTTTACATTTTCCGATTCCGGACCGTCGCGAAGCGGTCTTCCGCAATTTCGCTGAAAAACAGAAGCCATGCTGGTCGCGCGAAGTCCTAGAAATATTGGCGATAAAATCGCGCAAAGGAACGAGCCACCGTAGAATTTACTTTTAACAACAAGCTCCTCCCCCGCTGTGTAAAGCAACGATCACGTCGGATCGCGGATCTTCGTCGTAACGGTATTTAAAATGTTCCCGTTTATTGCATGTTTCAGCTTGGACAGAGACGAGCCTTTCGCATTCCAGCTGGGAGTCGGCCAAGTTATTAAAGGCTGGGACCAGGGATTGGTGGATATGTGCGTGGGCGAAAAGAGGAAGCTGACCATACCGCCGGAACTCGGTTATGGAGAGAAGGGAGCCGGAAACGTAATTCCTGGAGGTAAGATTGTTCTTTCGCCGGAGTCTTCTTCCTGTCGACTGTATCTGAAACTCGTTATTTCCGACAATTCCGGCCAGAAATGATCTTTCTCCGCGGATACAATGAACAATTGTTTCGACGAATACGTGAAACAGGGAATACAGCTACTACCACTCGTAATTCGTACGCTGTAATGGTCATTCGCTATAAATGGGGAAAATATTTCGTGCGAATATCCAGAAATAGCTCAGTGTCGTGGTTGTTTGATATAAAAATCACTCTATGTATGAAATTATGCTATCATTATACAATTTTATACGAGTACTTGGAATTAATGAAAGCATCCTTTATTTTATTTTTATGTTCAAAGAAATAAATAATATATTTAGTTTAATAAACAGTTAACGAATTTCGAAAATTAGGGAACACATGTAGAGTAGGATTTTATAATTTAATAATGCATAAAATATTATTAGTATATAAATTGCAAAGATGGCCAGCTTACCTGTTTATTATCATCAATCAGAGTCTTTGTCAGTATGAAATTATGCTATTATTATACAATTTTATATGGGTACTTGGAATGAACGAAAGCATCCTTAATTTTATTTTTATGTTCAAAGAAATGAATAATATATTTAGTAAACAGTGAACAAACTTCAAAAGTTAGATTAAAGATGTAAAGATTTTATAAATTGACGATGCATAAAATGTTATTAATATATAAATTGCAAAGATGGCCAGCTTACCTGTTTATTATCACATATAATATCGTATCGTCGATGAATGACCCGAGTCTTTGTAAATTTTCTCTAAAATCGCGAAAGATTCGAATCTCGGTACGCGACAATGCATATAATTACTCTTTTCCGAATGATCCGCGAGCCCCATCGATACTCTCAGAGGAACGAACGAGGACAGACGACGGATCGATACAAAAGGGATCGTTAGCAACGAAATCGGACTAAAAAAAAAAAAAAAGAAATGCAATTGCACGGAAATCCAATAAAGCGTCAACCATTAAATTGAGCACTGCTATCCCGGCCGGCTCGGTCGGATCAACATCGACGCTTGCGCGCTCATTTTTTCGGGAACTCGCGCGTTAGATAAATCGCGAGCCTCCCTCGAATACGCGTGTATCTTTAAGCGAAAAGTGTTCCACGTTTTATGCAGAGTTTCCCCCTTTGTCTCTGTTTTACTCTTTGGTTCGTCCAACGACTTCCTATATTCGACTGCGATAAACAGATACGATGGTTCGTCGTGTTTATTTTGGGAATTAACGCATCGAAGATTTTGTACATATAATATAGAAATATGTGTATATAATATCACGTATATTATCAAGTGAATTTATATTAGAGCGTATTACTTTGAATTCGCGCATTTAACACTAGATTTACGGAAGTCATCAATTTGACGGATGTCAGATTATTTTTTAACAACTTATTTTAAATTTGTTTGATGCAATGACATGAATACATGTTCTAATTAAAAGAAAAATCGTATTTCAAGGTAATCGTCAACATGAAAAATAATGAAAATCATAACTATTCAACCTGATATAAAATCACAGAATTACAAACCTCGAGGTCGATTGTTGTAAAAAGAGAAATAGAAATCACGGATCGTATTACTAATATAAAATAAAATATAAACGATAAAACCAATGAAAAACTAAAAAGAACGATGGAATTGTAAAAATATTATATCTCGTGGAATTAATAGGATTCATAAAATGAAAAATTAAATAAAATTACATCGAACCTTTCCATAATCAGCAGAGAGATATACTGTTTTTCGCAAAGTTTCTCAAGGAATCCACGGACATTAGGAAGAAGTTTTCGCGCCGTTGTTCTGTCACAATGCTGTCTGCGGTTCTTTCTTGCGGAAGAACGTGTAATGAGAAGTTACAATGTTCGAGGGCTTTGCAGCGCGTAGCGAGGTAAACGCGGTTTACGCGTTTTATGGTTAATTAACTTCTTCAACGGGCAAGATGGGTTAACTCTCGTCCCTTCCGCGAAAAGTATTCGCGACGTTCTCGCCTTCCCTGCAATATTTGTCGGAGTACGTTAGTTAATCTGCACGGAATATTTCAACGTATCCGTAATTCATCCTTATCTCTTCCTCTCTGAAAATAATTATGCACTTAAGAGATTAGAGAAACATGGATGTTTTAAAATTTTCCGACACGACATGGATCCGGTAAATTCGAAGGAATTTGCGTTTCCTTTGTGCCATAAAATATTATTTTAATAATATCAAATCGATATGTCCGTACCTTTTAATTTTACAATTTAATATTTCAAAGAGTGCTTCAGGCTAATTATCAGAAATTATTGGTATTCGTATACCATTAATTACAATTCACGTTTGAAAGTTTGATCGATGGGTTCTATGTGTCGAACGGACGGACACGATAATAGAATTCATTTATTTGAAGCATATTTTCTATAGTTAAGGAAGCGTGGCGCGAGTTTTCATCGCCAGGTGAATATTAAAGCAGGGCGAAACGATGTTGTTACGAAGAGCTTAATAAGAAAATAACGAGTTTCATGATCCTATTATGAGAGAACTTGTTCTTTAACTTTCCCCGCATTGATCGTTGGCTATCAACTCCGCGATACACGGTGTCCAGTACCGGAAGTTATAACCGAGAAAAATGGTACTATGCGTCTAAAAATAAAGCGAATGCACGTTGACAGTATCGACCAGTTTGATGAAATTCGCGTGCTCCAAATAATTTCGAGATTACGTTTCTCGAAGTAATTTTATTTTACACATCGTGAAACACCTTGTAAATTTCTTTAGGCTGATCCAAAATGGTATTCAATTTATTTTAATATCAACAAGCTGATTCTTCAGCGCGAAACGAGTAATTTCATCGGAAATTACGAGTCTTTCCGCGGGAATAAATTAAACGTACGGTGGCCAGCACCCTTTTAAACGCAGATTATTTCGAATTGCACGATCGTCTGCCGTTCGTCTTTCTCGCGGAACAATGGAATGATTAACTTCCCCGTTATTTCGCTGCTTTCCCAGTTCCGTATAACATTAACTCCTATCTATGCTCTCTCCGGAGGCTGAAACAGTGCGCCCCGACGCAGCGCGGAGGACAACGAACCGGGGTAGAAGCATTTCGGGGTCCCAGAGATCGAGCACGAAACGGTTTCCTTCGGATAACGGGGGGAAAAGTGGCGGTTAGAGGGAGGAAGGGGGTAGGAAATTGCGTAGAAAGAAAAGGAATTTGATTCCATCTGTCGTCGATGTTGCGGCTACCCGAGAACGAAAAACTTTCCTCGTGTTTACCCCCGCGTTTCGCCGTTCAATTTCCACGGAAAATGAGTCTGGCCGCCGGATGGAAAACCATTGTCCGACCTATTAGTTACGCTCGTTTATGCGGCGAATAATTGATCGGGAATATTTTATTAGGGCCGGTTTAGTCGCGATGGGACCGTTCGTAATTGATATAGCACGTGTACCTATACACTCGAGTGCCCCGCGTGCGCGTAATTTGCTAAATTTCATGGAAATTCATTATCAGCCGCTAACTAACCGAACCGATATATCGTGAATAAATGTTCTTGGTAAACTTTCGACGTTTTCGAGGGTGTCGTTTAATTATTTTTTCAATTTGACGCTCCTAAAAATCGTGAAAAGACAGAAAATAAATACGAACTTGATCATTGTTTATATTTAAGTTGAGGTAACTATATTTAGAAGACTGGAAAACGTGAATGTTAAGGTTCTGTTTTTAATTTGGTGTTACACATGTGGAATATGGAATAATGAAATTGAACACACCTTTCTTTTTTTCTCTAAGAAAGCTTTTACGTCTGTAATGTCGATTAAGGTGTATTTTTATTGATGATATTTCTGAAAAATCCGGGTACTGCCCTGATTAAACTCGACCATACGATTTTTTATTTAGTCGTTCGCCTCATAAACTATGTTTTCCCGTTAATCAGAGTGGCTGAAATGCAGTTCGTGAGTCAAAAGTACGATTGTTGAAATACCCTGTCCAGCAAATATTTTTCAATTGTCACAGTGATGCTGAAAATTTCTAATAATTGAGTCCAGCTGTAGTATTTAAATGGATTTCGCCTATATTTATATTATCAACTAACGAACAAAGCATAATCTACAACGCGAATTAAACTACCAACGAATATTTCAGCGTGCTCGTTCATAATGCATAACTTTAATGCAGCATCTAACATTTATCGCGTCGTACTATATTTATACAAAATTAACGAACGCGTTGCCAGCGTTACAATGTGTATTTAAATAATCGCGTTTCACGGCATTTATCGATATAGTTATCACTTTCTAATATTTCGAGGATTTTTCATGGATTTAAGAATACGAACTTGCATTCACGTTTTAGATGAAAATTTCATTAGAATTAGAATAGCTCTCTCGCGATTTTAATTATTTATGGTCGAATCAAATGTCAAGAAAGTTCCACAGAAACTATCACAGCTATTTTCTCTCGTCGATTGTTCGACCAAAAATAGCAGTGATTTGTAGTAAATGTCAGCGGCGAGAAGCCCGTCATATGTCATCGACGAAGGAACGAAATATGGGACCGATTTTCGTCGAGCTGAAGTGCACAGATAGTCGACGAGGAAATAATAGAAAACTCATGGTCATCGTCTTTCATCAATAATGACAGAGACGTATTGGATGTTCGTTGGGTTTCGAGCAATCGATCTGATTATCGCGTGTCACCTGCTTTCGGGATCAGTAAAATATAATGAAAAATCAGGATGCTTGGGAAAACGTTCCATCGATATTTCTGGAGAATCTTCGTGTATATTTAAACCAATGGGATGTATATTTTTAGAAATGCATTTCGTTAAACTTTAATGTCCAGCGTATTAAAATAAATGCCTCACTTAGAAACTAAATATCGGGGACAGGAATTTTGTTAAAAGTCGAAAGTAACTCTTTTAATCGTCTATAAAATTCCACGACGCTAGTAACTTAAAAGATAAATATATCTGCGTTGAAATTAAATATATTCTACATTTTATAGGTAAATCAAGCGTTTGAATTGTCTGAGAAAACTTCGATTGGACCCGTAGAAGGGTAGATGTTTGACAAAATTTAATGTTTCTGATTCCAGGTGCTACTTTGTTGTTCGACGTTGAGCTGATCAACATCAGCGACTCACCGCCAACCGCGAACGTGTTCAAAGAAATCGACAGCGACCAGGACAACCAGTTGTCTCGCGAGGAGGTGAGAGCAATGGCAAGATCACTTTTAATTTCTTTTTAAGGGTCATCCGTGGTGGTGATTGTAAAACAAACGTAGATCGAACAAAGCTTCTAACAAGTATTGTGTAGTTTTGCAAATTAAATTATTCGTATCGTAATGTTTAAAAAAAGTGTTTAATACTTTTAATCGCAGCCATGCACGACTAATTTTAACTAACAAGTTTGTACATAAATTGTAAGTAATATTTACAGACGCCAAATTTGAAATTTATAAGACCCTGGGAAATTAAATTACAAAGTTTTCTGTAACTTTGACATAGCATGAATCAACATATTTATCGTATTTTTTTTTGCATTCGAAAGATCAATGGCGGTGCAAATTTTTAATCAAAGCGAAACTGCTATCCAGCAAATCCCTCGCGGTACAATTTCTGTCGTTTTTAAATACCTGTATGTAACCTTTTCGCTAGATATTCACTTTGACAATTTGTTTCGTTCATCTCAACATTTTTTTACGGATCAAAAAGCGGCCCAATCACAACAGTAGTCTCTACCAGGTTTATCTCTTGCACACCAGTGCGAGGGATTAACATTTATAGATTTTGCACACAACGGAGAGAGCTGTATTTCGGTACATTTTACGTTTTTTTTTTAACTATAACGAACAACGCGATCCAGTATCTCTTTTTTTTTTGGTACCAATGTACCACATCGTGATCCATTCATCTTAATCACTATCAAATATCGCACATTTGACAAACTTTTATTCGAAAACATGTCCTGCATCGGCATAAATAACAGGAAAATTGTCACGATTAATATTATTCTTTTCGAAAGATATTCAAGGGAAATATTCAACAGGAAACGTATATTTAAATTTACGAGCAACGCGAAGTTCCAATGCAGACCGGTTAGGAAGTTTCAAATGGACGTTTATGAAATTCATTCGGGATAAAATATTACAAATATAAGGGAAACAGAAAAATTAATTTGGCAGATTTTACAGCAATGTTTCGAATTAAAACAATTTTCCTTATTTATTTGAGTACTCACTGTTATTAAACATTTTCCAAAAGAATTTTATAATTAGTCACATCTCAAAGAGTGATGCATGAATCAATTAATGGGGTGGAAAGAACAAAAGAAATTATTTAAACATGCAGATACAACATTCACTCGTAACTAAAGTATACTCAAAGAAAGTTAATAAAATATAAGATATACAAAAATTTAGATATTAATTAATTACACTCTAGCTGATCGAATAAGATTAAAATTACTTCTCGAATCTTGATAGTTTTAGTCTACGATATCATAGCCCAATTTTTGTAATTATGTTCGAAATCTCCAGTTTGTCAGTGTCTGTATCAGCTTCGTTTATGTATTGTCGATACCAGAATGACTGCTTTATTCTGCTTAGAGGTGCAGGAAATTGAATTAATGTTTTGTATTTGTATGTAACTGGAAATACTCTCTAGTGCAAGCTTTACTCCAAAATCTTTGAATACAGTTAATAATATTTCATAAATGTAAGTTTTTCTATATAACTTAACACTAGATTTACGGAAGCGTAAATAGAACTCGTAAATATTATTTGTTAGAAATTTATATTAAATCTCGTCGATACCTCCGGCGTTCGCCAACAGAGGGCTGCGCTTAACGCGTTTCTCACAAGTGCTCGATCGTCTACCTATTTCTATATACACTCCTGGACCAACCATTCAGTGTCTTATATACTCTAATTAAAAGAAACCTTATATTTTAATAAAATCAACATATACGAGCAAAATCAATATCCGTAAGTCCATAATCTGGTGTTAAGATTTAAGAGGGAAGCTTCATGGTGAAATGGTAAAACGAAAAGCGATATTTGACAATTTTTTTACAACATTTTCGCCACTTTCCACATATATTCTTTAACATTTCAAAATACAAACATTTTTTTTTCGTTACGTTTTATCGACCTTGGATGAAATAATAAATGTTATTCCTTATATGCAGTCTAGCATCCTTTTCCTCTGATCTAGAATAAAAAATCGAATGAAATTTTGTCTATAATACTACTACGCGTCGCAAGAACTAACATCCCTCATAATAATAATTATTTAAACTATGTTTATTGCACAATTAAATTAGAAATTTATTGCAAGAATCATTTTTTTGTGTTTGGAGCAAAATTTTGCATTTTTTAAGGACCATAATAGTCTAGTACCATGACGAACTAATAATACTAGGCTGCACATAACGAATAACTTTACTATTTCATCTAAAGTCGACAGAACCTGACGAAAAAAAATATTTCCATCTTGAAGTGTTACCAGCAGCTCCCAACGCTTTTAAGTGTTTTATTTGAAATTTACCTGTTAAAATATCTGTTTTATTTACACTGTTGTTGCATTTTGTAACTTTCAAGTGTACGATATCTCTTTGGTTTGGACTTGAAAAAATGTCGAGTGAGATAAAAATTGACGTCGAATCACGCTCGACATATGAGTGCAAAGGGTTAAAGAATGCACGTGAAAAGTGGCCGAAAAGTTAAAAAAATCGTGAAACAGCGCTTCTCGTTTGACCATTTTGACCAGGGAATGGGATCTGGTCCCCGAGAAGCAGCCCAGGTCGCTCCGAGACTGAAATATCTCTGTTCGTTTTGCGCAGGTGAGCCAGTACCTGAGAAAGCAGGTGGTCGAGGCGGAGCAGGGCAGCGAGGAGGTGAAAAAGCTGCTGGCCGACAACGACAAGTTCGTGGAGGAGATATTCCAGCACGAGGACAAGGACAAGAACGGCTTCATATCCCACGACGAGTTCAGTGGGCCGAAGCACGACGAGCTTTGAAGTCTTCGTGCCGCGTCGCCGCGTCTCCGAGCATCGCGTCGCCGACGGCGTCGTGGCTCGCGCCACCACGTGTTCACTTCCGCGGGGAATCGCCTCCTCGAGTCCTGTCTGGTCCGCGGGCACCATTGAGAACACGCTCGATTGGCCCCCACGACCGATCGATCGTTTCGTCTGCTGCGCCGTGCACGCGGATCCCTCCGAATCTCGAGGAACAAGCTGGGGAAGCCGAGGAACGCGGACGAGAGAACCGGGAACGCCGGAACCACCCTCTTCTTCGCCCGGGGAATTTCTCTCGCGAAAGGAGGACACTGGGCCAATACCGATCACGAACGAATTCCGGAAAAGTGTCCAGGAGTTTCGATCCAACGGATGCTGGGAACGGGGGAACGCGCGCTCTTTCCAGGGATTCCTCCGCGAATGGGAAATTTCATCGATCGCGAGACCGAACTAAGAGCCGGGAGCTTGAGAGTCGAAGATATCGTCGAGTTTCGTGTGCCCAGGGCACCGCTGAGCCCTGAAAAGCACCGCTGAAAAGCTTCTTGCTCGATAGAGAACGCGTTGCTCGATTCTTTCGATATATTCGTTATCGTCTGGGGAAGGAGCGGAAATTAGAGCTCAGATTATCGTTTTTCCGTCGTGATAGAGTCGTTGGGAAAGCATCGGCCAACAGGGAGACAATCGAAGAGTGATCGATCGCGCATGCATGCTTCCATGTAGCCTTTTTATCGCCTCGTAGAGATTGTTGCGTGACTGAAAGTGGATTGTGTGGGTTTAAGAGCTTGTACTCGACGGTAGAGGTTTGGTAGAGATGATAAAAAAGATTATTATAGTGTGCATGGAATATGCCTTTTACCGTCTTGATCGAAACTACGATGTTCAGTCGAACGAGGGATGGTAAAAAGCACTATAGTTAATCGTTGGCTGGGTAGAGAAGTTTTCACAGGTTCATGCTACACGGGAGTTTGCGTCCTCAACATTTATCATTTTGGACGATTCGTCGAAACACAAAAGAATATCATTTTTCTTACGTACGATTTTCGAGAAACAATTTTCTACATTTATACCCATATTTCTGACAAGGAATATTCGCAAACGGTCCGGCTTCGATTTTGATGAAACTTTGGTGGTTTCACCCCTTAAACTCGAGTCACCGCAGCTAAAAAAAAATACGTATCTATTATTTTTGGCTGCTTTATAAGTATACAAAGTTTCATCAGAATCGAAGCTGGACCGTTCGCGAAAATTCTATTCTATTTCTATTACGCGAAAGGAAAAGTTTGGCGTACTTTTTTTTGGTAATCGTGTGCAGCAGTACAAATATAACACCAGTGTTCTATCCAAACCACAAGGAATAATTTTTGTTTCCTGTTTGCGTTATCATGCGAACTCGTGATATCACTATTCTATTAGCACTTTGCAAATTATAGAATATTTTATTTTTATTCTACAGGTGTATCTGTATTGTAACAACTTGTATTCGAAAAAATGGCGCAGACAGTTGATTGTGCTTGTATTTCGATTATATTATTAACGTATAAATTAACATTTATATTTGAATTTAGTGCAACGTCTGAAACTCTCATAAATCCTTTCCATACCCGAGATCCATATCGTTCCTGTAGTCTTCTTGGGAATGGTAAATATTTCAACATCTTTTAATGGCGCTGGACAATGTTGAAATATGGTTATAAATGTATAAAATTATTTTGCAAAGTTACATCGAAAACACGAATAAATGTGAAAACTTTAAGGGCTGATTTCACCCTTTCAAAGTGGAACGTTTGTACAAAGTTTTATTCAAATCGGAATTTCCCTTTCAAGGGACGTACAGTAATGATTCTTAAAATGAACCCCTATATTCGTAAATTGAACATTCGAACATCGACAGAAGACAAACTCCGTTCATCTTAAGAATCATTATCCTCGAAAACCGCCAGCAATCGTGGATCTCGATCAAAGGATCCGCTCGAAGTTATCGAAAACGCTAATGCAAACACTCGTGTGCGCCGTGGCTGGTGCAAACCCATTCCTGCTCGATAAAAGGCCTATCTATCCTCTGCTGAAGTATCTCGCGCGAGGGAAAGTCGATAATCCGAGCAAGGACCGATAGCGGAAGAAGAGGAACAAAGAACAAAACGAAACGACGAAGTTCTCTCGATGCCCCTAACGGTTTCCGGTCAGAGACAGAGTTTTTCATCCGAACGCGTCACGGAAAACATGTACATTTACGGAAGATGGAAAAAACATTCGCGCGTCGAATGATCGAACAACGAGGACGAGCGCGCATCCGTTCCGAGTGATTGAAATCCTGGCGCGAAGCGAGGCTGTTCTAACGTAATATAATTATACAAATATAGATAGAAACAGACAAGGAGAAAATGTGCGATAAAGTATATATGCGAGAGACAGAGAAAAAGGGAGGGAGAGAAAGAGTGGTTTTTCTACACGACTATAGATGTTAGCATTAATTAAGCGCATCGGCGTAACGGTGCTAAAATGGAATCACGCGCGAAAACGTTCTGTCCCTCTATCGAAAGCTTCTTCCTTTTCATCCCCCTTTGAGTCCCCCCCCCTCAGAACGTCCCTTTTGCACCAGCAGCCAAAAACCTCACACTCGCACTCACATCCCCCCCCCCACCCACCCCCCACTCCCACCGGCATTCTCAGGCCGCGAATTTCACGCGAGAGACGTATCCAGGACCGGAGTAGGATCGCACGAGGAAGGTGCAATCTCGAGGATGCGTGGTGGAGATGAACGGCGATCGCATCGACGCGATTCTTCTTTCCCACGATCGCCGCCTATCATTATTACACTTTTTAACTGATACGTTTTTATTACTACATTATATTGTATGTCGTTAAAGTTGGACGAAGGTTAATAATAAATCGTGTGTCTCGTGCACAGTTTGTTATATAACACGGCTTGTTTTATTCGCGCGACGCTCGAACCCATCCCCCCCACGTCCCCGCAGAGTAAGCGTCGCCGGGTCTCTAATTTGAACGCGTCTCGCAGATTTACTACCTGGTTTACGAGTTGTTTACGACATTAACGCTAAAGGCAACGGAACTGATTTTTCGACCTAATGATTCTGTCAATTATGACATTCAATTTTTTTGTATTCGTGAAATTAATTTTAAATTATTTTGCGTTTAGGATTTTTTTTTTATTACGGAGAATCGGGTACAGGTAGGTTTTCTAAAAGAACTAGAAGCCATGATTGTCGGTTTGTCAAAATCCTTGAAAATGAAAGAAATATCCGTGAAATTTTAAGTAGTTAAGGATTTTTTAAACATCAGGTGTAGCATTGAATTGTCTAATATTTCTATATTTCACTCGACAGTTTCAAGGGATTTTCTCCGGGTAAAAAAAGAGCCAAAAAATACTTTTCAAATTCTTTATAGGAAAAGAAATCAAACTTACATCTTGCAGTCCAAGGCGTAGTTTCCGTGTCCGGAGGTCCAATATTTTTATTCTGTTTCTGCTGTTGCGAGTTCTAATTTTACTGCTTTTTTATTTTCGAATATTTTATTTTTTTAACGAAAATAAAATAGTATATCAACTATAACAATTTTTTATATTTACTTTGACGCTATATACTTAAAGAAGTTTTAGCAATTCCTATTGACTCTACGACTGGTGTCCAATAAAATTGGATTATAAAGTGTTTATTTAAGCATTTTTAAAATTCCGTTTCAAGGGTGTTTTATCTCCCATTCGATGAAAATTAAAAAATTTTCGCAGTTTGCAAATTTTCTGTAGGAAGTTAACTAAGTATGCACGTTTAGAGTAAAATCATTGAGTATTTTTGTAAAGATTTTTAAAATGCATGTTTTAAGAAAATATCTTACTAATAAACTTCAAAACACAACTTTCTCTAGATACAATGCAAAAATTAGAAGTACGTTGCCTCGTTTAGGGTCGAAGAACATTTTCTTGTATCGTTTTAAATGTTCTCGGTCGCAGAAATTGACTTCTTTCTGAAAGTCGGCGCCTTTGTAAACGTTTGGAAACCGTCGCCTTAAAGGGATCGAGTATTCCTCGTTTCCGTAGCTGAACGAATGCATACAATGCACACTTACCTGGTATTACCGCGTATTTTCCAATACCCGACGCGTCGATCGTACGAGAGCACTTCCTGCAAACGGAACGGGATAGAGAACGAAGGGGGGTGAAAACACACACAGAATCAATGATGATACACTGCTGCTGCTCGCAATTTTATTTGAAGAATCATTTACCGCAGAAACTTACAATGATCTCGCGTACGCGAGGGCACGCTACGCGATTAATAAGGTGATGATTAAGTTAATTAAGTTGCTCCTCCCGTCGAACGAATCACACCGGTTTTACAAATTCTCGTCGTATGGGTGTCGAGATTCGCTACGTACGCGTCGGACAGATGATTCGTAGATTCGCGAACTCGACTGTTATTTTGCGTTACAATTGTACGAAAAAATATGGATCCACGCGGGCAACAGTCGCTTCCCGCGATACGTTTGCTCGATCTCGTTCGTGGTTTCTCTATCGTCGTTAAAAGAATTCGGATCACTCGTCGACGAGGCACACGTTTGCACGTCTCTGTCGTTCGTGCTTTTCTCGAGAAGTCAAGAAGAAATTGAAATTTTCATTTCATGCAACATGCAGGAGGGAATCGCCTGAAAAATGCTTTCCATCCGCGCGTGCGAGCATTTATTACTACGGAACCTGTCGCCGCGGAAGACGCATCCGAAAAAGTTTCTCTTGTTTTCGTTTATTTTCTTCTCTTTTTTTTCTTTTTGTCGCGGAAGATGAAGAGGATATAAGTTTCAAAGTTGTCGCGACGCGGAACGCTGACCCGTAAGCTCGTCTCCGTAGCCCACAGGCTGCCAGAAGTCGCCTCGCAACGAGATTTGGCGAATAAGTCGCCTGACTGATCGTCGCGTACACTTCCTTTTTCTTTCATCTTCCGTCAACAATATTGCGCGACTGCAGGGAACGGAATTTAACGCTCAAAGTATATTTCCTACGACTACGACGTCGACTATGATAGAATAAATACGTCCGCTCGTCTGTCGCTAAATATTATATCTCCGGTAAAAAAAACGGAGATGGAATTTTTTTCGAAAGACACGAAATAATTGAACTCTGAAAGTACAGTTTTTCCATCGATTTTAAAACTATTTCTTGTATTCCGTCGCTCGGTCGTATCGGACACGCGTTCAATTTTTATGGTTGCTGATCACGCACAAATTTCTATACACAAATATCGAAAATATCTCGTTGAAAATTCAACCGAAATTCCACGAATCGTGGAAACGATAGATCCATCGGTTTCATTATTCGCTTGTACTTCGTATTATTCTCGAATATTTTACTTTAGTAACTAATCGAACGTTTGTCTGATCTGAATCCAATCCGATCGAGCAAAAACTAGTTATACGTAACTTCATTTAATTATCAGAATAGCGTACTATTTTTAAAGGATGAACGACAGAGCGCGTATCGACGGTGAAAGATAGAAGGAAAGGCCTCGAGTTTCGTCTCACGACGGATTTGATAAAATCTACAGCTTCCTGCCAGCGTGCAGAAAGATCGATCGAAATATATATATGTATATATATGTATGTGTATGTATATATAATTCTTTTAACGTATAACCTTGGTGTATCTCCGCGATTCCTTGGAAGGGTTGTTTCATCGTGTTACGGTCGTACGGGTTGCGCCTACGTCAAATCGCGATGTCCTGGCCGTGTCATCAACGTTCGATCAGAGCTTCGATGATCGTCTGCTGGCTATCCTCATTTTCTCACGGACGAGTTTAACGGTGTTCGAGTTTTATCACAGTCAGTAACCCTTGATGTAGGCGGCGATGTGCTTCTTCTCCTCTTCCGAGAGGCCGTTCTTTAGCGTTCTACGCACTGCACAATACACGTGATTGATATTTACTACGAAACGAAATCAACGTAAGCACAATAGAAATCGACGCAAGTTGCAAGCAATACCGGAAAACGTGAACATTTCGTATTTTGGGAAGTGTTTTATGTAGCACGATATGTTAACCAAGCAAGAGGAAACGATAAGGTTCAAGATACAAGGCTGTTTCAGTAAATTATCTAATTTTGTCTAACTCCGAACTAGACAGACTCTCGATACTCCGGCTCCCATGAACCTAGAAAAAAACAGTAACATTTCGAGCGTTAAAAATTCTCCAAATACGAATTGTTCAACGACGTTCAGGAAATGTATTAGCGAAACACGTCACTCGGAAGTAGTCATGCAAAAACAGGTTTGCATGCGATAGAGTTGAAAAGAACGACAGACAATTAAGCATAATTATTGTTGCGGTTATCTACACGACTAATCTAAGGCACGTCAGTTTGTTCGAGATCCTATCTCGCCGTGTTCGTTCGGGATACATTGTTTAATAGACGCAAACTTATAGCAGTGGGAACGGCTGGTAATTAACAGGATCTATATGTACCCGGTAACAATGCGCCGCACTGTTAAGATCGCTAGCAGAAACGTTGCGTATAAACAGTCGCACCTGTAACATAATACTCGCTTAATTATTCGCAGAGAATTTGCCGCAACTCCAGTTTCAGCTGCCTGCCGCTGAATCAAGCTGTACTTCCTTTTTTTTCTGTTCCCCTCGCTTCGGTTGTGTGTTCTCAAATAGCTCGCGTTGCTCGTAGGTTTTATCAGAGACGAACGACCGGTAATGGATGTTTTGCAAAGCTCGAAACGAACGTTCCAGGCTTTACGCTCAACTACTTACAGAATCCGCGCCGAACCTCTGCGATTCGAATTATATTTTCATCGATTTTTTTCGACGTGACAAAGTTAAATTTGTTCGTCGTGGCAATCTCGTCTTTTTATTTCGATTAATTGAATTTAAAAAGAAGGGGACAACGGTCTTGAAATGTCAATCGAGTTTGATTCGATCCGATCGATTCTTGTTCGGGGATTAAATATCTTATCGAAACCAGTAAACGTACTCGAAGACAATGACCCATCAAGCGCAAATTGTTCGGTCGCGTTAATGAGAATTTCGTTTGTCATCAACGCTGGCTGCGTTCGTATAACATAATAAATGAAACGCTTGCGCCTGTATTTAGAACTCTGAATGGTGGTTAATGAATTTGGAAAATTATCGCGTGTGTCCGCAGCCTTTGAATCGAATAATTTTGAAGCGCAAAGCTGATCACCGTTATTATCGAAATACCGTTTTCGGCGGTCCTTTTGTTTACCGTGGAAAATATTTCGCATTATGTTTGGCGGCTCATCGTTTCGCGGAGCGTTCGCATTTAGGAAACGCGTTTAATCCATCGTTTGCGCGATCGAATTCGTAGAAATTATTTAATTATATTACTTAATTACTCGTTGGGCAACATATCGCTAGTTCATCAGCGCGGATTAATTTTCCGAAATTCCGTGGATATTTTGCGAAACGATTGGCTATCGTTGAAAGTGGAATATCAATATCGAGTTCACGATTTGATTTTACTAAAAACGAACGAACGTACGGTAGAAACGAATCTATTTTAAAACCTGATACCTGGTGTCTCCTCGCTATTTAGGGAACGTGTATTTGCGGAATATTTCCGAATCCCTCGACGCAAATTTAATCTCGATTTCGTTCATCGAAGGAATTTCATTTCACCGCGGTCTGATTAATTTAAATTAAATGTCATGGACTTCTATTTGGCGACCTATATCTGTATTCCACGCCGAACGGGATGTCCCGAAAACTTAGCAAATTTGCCATCGGCCAATTATAACGTTTATTTAACGAGAAACCAATAAAATATTCCGGGAGACCGCTAATTTGAAAAGTTTTCCATCTCCCAGCCGCAAAATAACGAACAAGGCCGTAGACTGTCGGACATAACGACGTATTTCGAAACGTTTCACGGAAAACTTTGGCAGATCTATCGACGAGATCGATTAATTGGTAAATTTCATTTATCAGCTTTCTCGATGCTTTGCGTCCAAAACACAAAATCTCGTGATTCGATCAACCGCGTCCAGGACCACGGAATGTAGAATAACGCGCAGAGAAATGGAACAGAGGCACAGAGAATCGCGAAACGACGATCGAGGAAGCGGGAGATTCGGATCAGCCATCGCCGCGGATCCGATCGAATTATTAAAACCGAATTTATCCGAGGTCATTACCGAACAGGAAACAGTACGCGTGCATTGTTCCTCGATAATTAGGGGTTCATTATCGGCTGTAAACACGGGATCGATAACGCGGAATACTACTGAGAACTTGTTTTCAGTGCGGTTGCTTACGGATAATGATATTACGCCCCCTCGATACTCGACATTCCTACTTGCAATCGAATTTCTTGCACCGTGAAACTGGGATGAAGCAAATTACGTCCTTTCTTTCGGTTGGAACAACTCATCGATTAAAAATAACTCTTTCTGAATATTTTTTATTTTATTATCAACAATGACTCATGCGTACTCATAATTAAATTAATCGATGATTTAACACACAGCAACATCGCTGCAAGGTTGATAGATCACGTGAATTAATTTCGAATTTTTGTATTTATTTCGAAGAAAACAATTCGTCGAATATATATAGCGAACTATCTAATACGAGTACGTGTGTGCACGTATATGGCAATTTGTAATTATTGTAGAAATCAAACTTCCGTGCGAGAGCATAGCAACAGTTTCATGATTTCTCTGTTGTGCTAGACCTTCCACCTGCTGATTAATTTCTCGAATAATTAGTTCGAAAACAAACCGTAGAACGAAGATGTAGATGAAACGCGTTAATTAGACGAGTTGTACTACATTCCAAACTTTGGACGCGTTTGTTACTACTTTCCAATTTTGGCTGTCGCGGAATTCGTATAATAATTGATTATTAAAAAATAAATATGGTGAAAAAATAAATCAGATCATCAAATGACAGAAACTGCAGAACAAAACACAGTCGCATCTTAGTTTGAAAACGATATTACGCGAATCGAACCGACATATTCGTGCACGCGATTCTTTTCGAAGACACTTGGACGTTCGAATAATCCGAAACTGGAGTTAACAGATGTTCGAGGGCATCAACGTTTTGGGGGTTCATTCTTTTCGTTATCCTGGATCGACCCTGTCGTTTGAATTGTCCCGATTTTCGCGGCTCGTTGACTTCCAATTTAATGTTGCCCGGGTAAATCGCTCGCGCTTCGACTGCCTAGGCAAACACGACCTTCCGTGGTCCGATTTATTTGCCGTGACGCGCGTGTCGCACGCGTCGCGACGTGACTGATCGTCCACGACGACGCCCCGTGATCACGTTATTAACGAGACGCCCGTCGTACCGTGTTTAACGTGTATCGGTTCGCGGATAAACTCCGTCGGAGCTACTTAGCAAATATTTACTGCGACAAGAAAGGGGATCGATACCAAACGAAATTACTCGCTCGACGCGTCTTTCGATGTGCATCGGTGTATGAATCTATACGTGTCTCTTTGTGTGCGTGTAATTCGATTTGGTCTCGCGTAAGCGACGGTGAAAGCGACGCTCGAAGTCGTCGTGTTTCGATGTTTTACGCGCTCCGCGAATATGCTTGAATCTGTTTAATGAAATCGAACGGATCATTAAAGTTTACCGCTTCTTACTTAATGCCAGATGCTTCCGTGTACGAACGAGATTCGTTGCGATGCAATGGAACCCTAGCAACCAAGTTATTCTCGATTTGTGAAATCGAGTGTTCGAAAAATGATTTATATAAAGCGAAATGGTATCTACGAATTTATTGAAATTATGGAAAGGGTACTCGAGTGAAACTAAATGAGTACTTATCTCGAAGAGATAATTATAAGGTTGCTGTTATCGAGAGTCACATTTAATTGAAAATACATTTTTTGAGAAAATTCAATTTTCTTTTGACATATCAGAATTATCCAGAAAAGTATACGACTATAATGTTATTCGATTTTAAAACAGAATTTATAGACGAATGTTTCCTGTTTGAAATGGTTAAATTTTCAGAGGGTCGTTGAAAACTATGAATATATCTTTTATTGTTGATAAAACCTTATTTCTGGTTCACGATTTCGAGCCAAGTAGATTTATTTTTGCGCAAAGTGCTTGGAAAATGCAGCGGAAATTCTCGAACAGCGGAGATCAAGTGGAGGAGAATCGATGTTGACGGTCGATTAATACGAGTTTGTAACAAAATTATCCCCCCGCTTCCTCTTTCATGGAATCACGGTGCAAGTCCTGTTTATGTTTTGAAAAATGGTTTTCCACGAAACGAGCAAAAATGAATCAATCTCGCCGCCTGAATATTTCACGCTTTCCAGTCACGCTAGATTAACTTGACGCGTATCGTGTGGGGTTATTGCAGTCTATGTAACGAGGTTAGTATGAATAAATCGGCAATTTTGGTAAAAGATAAATCGTAATAATATTCGCCTGAAAAAAGTTCCTCGCTTTCATAATTTTCGAAAGCAATCACGAATATTCAAATTAATTTATTATATATCCCCAGAGTGTTATTTTCACAAGGATCACATAAATTTGAAACGATCCCCTATTTTGTTGCGCCACAAATCCTCCGTAAAGAGCAATGTTCTCTCAGGTTCGTGCACGAGATCTATTACGCAACGCATAACGAAAATTATTTTGTGAGATGATTAGGAAGCAGTGCCGACATCCATTACTGTAATATTACAGGAATACACACGCGAACGTGAACTGTTACGTAAGATGGTTTCCAGCGGTTCGAGTACTGATAATATTAGGACCCTGTTTACTTCAAATGACTCTGTTCATCGATGATTTCAATACGTAATATGGTGGAGCTACCGCGCGGAACAATTTTCTCGTCTGAAAATAAGTTGCTCCTTTCGTATCGCGATGTATTATATTATGCAAATCTAATGGAACCGCATTACTGTA